GCATCCCCACGGTCATGTAAAGACATTCCCAGGTATTTTCAGCACATAAATCGATAAAAGAAGCTTTTATCTAGCATCCAATACGACAAACACATCAAGAAACGGTTCTGTGAATAAGTTATTAACGAAAGAGAAAGTCGACGAAGAGAATCGATCAATGTTACTTAGGACCTAATGCAAAGTTCAGCTTGAATTGCTCTTGTAAAAAAAATAGTTCTCGTAATAAAATCATGCATTATCCTTTTCTGTTCTGCTTTCATCCCATGCACACTGGGCCAGGAATGCAACCTAGCGGAGCAAAATTAATAACTCCGAAACGAAGCAATTTTTTTTCTGTTATTTCACATAACTCGAAAACAGTAGGCTGTGAAGTTTTAACGTATTAAGAAAAGTTGTTTATTTTATCAAGATAACCAACTTTGACAAAGTCGTGAAGTCTTCGAAACACAAATTCAATGCATTAAAAAAAGTTATAGAAAAAAAAACATGTTCCACTAAAATGAAGAAATCTACAAAACACCAAAATATACCTCTCTCAAATTTTGATATTTTGTTTATCGAGTATTGCTTAATTTTTGCTGAAAATGTCAAAATTGTGTTTTTTTTCTCGTTTTTTCAACAATGTCTTTGAAATTTTAAGCTTAATCCAGTATGTTTCTTCACAAAAGCTATTTATTTAATGTATTTTCATAAGAGAAAATATAACATTATAAAGCTGTAAGCAAAAAAACCGAAACAGAAAAAAACCATATTTTCAAGATTTTTTTCTTTAACTCCATATAACTTGGAACCAGTAGACTGTGGAAATTTTACGTCTTTGAAAGACCTGTTCATTTTGTCAAGATAAACAACTTTGCCCAAGACATCAAGTTTCCAAAACGTCAGAGAAAGAAGTTAGATTGTGACACCATCTTTGCGGAAGAGTTTTGAACTATTTGTTTATGTCAATAGATGGTCCTTATTATGATGAGAAATTTTGCCGAAGACACCAAGTCGCGGAAATGCTTCGTTTCGGAGTTATTAATTTTGCTCCGCTAGGTTGCATTCCTGACCCAGTGTGCAATGTAAGCATTAGACATTTTAAGAAATTGCGCTTGGTGTTTTTCTTGCCTGCTGTCTTCTGTCGCCATATTGTCATTATGAAAATGCCATTAGCCTTGGAATAAAATCCAAGAAATTTCAATAAAATAATGGCTAAATAAGAGATCCGAAATGATTTCCAGTGTGCATTGGTATGAATTTATGTATTGAGATCTATTTTCTGTAAAATTAAGGTGATTCCATCAAATTCATTTAATTTCTGAAACAATCTTTTTTGTTAACTTGAATTATTTTGGAGGCGCATTTATTTAACGCTCATATTATCTCAATATACACGATAACATTTCAAGCGCATATGTTTTGGAACTTCTAAAAAGTAATATATTTTCTTTAAGATTTTCACTAATGTCGCCATGAAACAAAATTGATTGCATGGTGATCTTGACACCAACACTCAAACCTATTTTAACCGCTAAAGATTTCCATTTGGTTTCAGCAGAACAGAACAACAACAAGCTAATTTATGGCGGTTGCTTTGAAGCCAATACAAATTAAATTGGCTTTATAACTGATTTTCACCAAAGCGTCATAAAACTGCTTGGATACAATATTACTCTTATAGAGGCTATGAGAACCTTTTGTAGAGTATGAGGCTTCCTGACAAAAGGTTTTAAGACAGCTTTATTGTGATTCTCAAACATGCTTTATAAACCTTATCAAGAGTGGTCCACTAAGCTGTATGACGATCTTATAGCGGTTATCAAAAGGTTGTGCTGGAGCTATTAATTTTATTGGCGGTTTTATGAAATTGATCTCAATAACCACTAATAGAGTGCAATAAAACAAGAAATGCTACTTGGGCAATCTTCCTCTTATAAATCTGGTTGCAAATGGATAGGCTTTCTGTTTGGCGGTAAACTGACGACATCCCATGTGGCGTTTTCTTCCAGCGATTCCAACTCTTATTTCATGGCATGCTTCCACTTCTCGTGATAGGGAAAGGATATAGCTTATTGGAACGTACGTGGTTCATCATCCTGCCGCTTTGCTATATACGTACGGTATCACGATATCGTACTGGGGGGATGCTTTTGGTGACACGTTCTGATCATCGAACTACCGACATATGGACATCGGTGACTTCCTGTTCCTCCTTTTTCTGGGATGTATCAAGCTCTTCTAGGATTTCTTCTTCCACGAATGTTTCATCGTCGTAGCTTGTTTCGAAATCGTATAGATCGGGCTCATCCGATTCTTCCTTGTTCTCTATTGCGTTGGTTGAAATAACATAATCAACAGAAGCATCAGCTTTCTTTGGCTCCAGGAGTTTGAAAGGATAGTACTGCCTATAATTCCATATCAGACTGCCTATAATTCCATATCAGTCCCATATGGAAAAAGTAGGCATTGAGAAAATGGCAGTTGAAGTTAGGAAGTGCGATTCCGATGTAAATATTTAAAAATCATAGTAAATTAATCGATAATTTTTTTAAGTTAAGATCAGTTCCAATGTAGCTTGCATGGATGCTTTGTTATATCAGCGAAAAATATGGCGATTCAAAAAGCAGAACTGTAGCTTGTTCTCTGGACGATTGCATTTCATGATGGGACTAATATGCGATTACTTTGCTTGATGGGGCAAACTGACTTGATGTCGTTTTCACTTTTTTCCTGATTAAAGTCCGTAGTTTTATCACATAATATGAAAGTAGATGCCAATTGATAGTGGATAGCGTTATTATCTTAAAATTGGCAAAAATCCATATGGGACTGACATGCGATTATAGGCAGTTCAGTGGTCCGACACTCGTCCATCGACAGGAACTTGCAATCACGGCTGACGGTCAGCTTGTTGTTGCTTGAGTAGCCAACGAACAGCAATTTTCGAGATTTTGGTTCAAATTACATACACCGGTGATCCGAAAATCAGAAGATGGCTCAAATCTGGTTTCGATCCACTCCACAGCTCGATTGGAGTGTTCTTCAAAGGTTTCGTCGGTGAACGGTTTTACAGATACCGAGTTAACGGTTAACCGCTGCAGCCCACACACTTATAGCGAATTCGTTTATTGTTCAGTTCCAACCTGGATCGGGTATCAAGATTGGGTCTGCTTGTTTTCTAACAAACGTCAGTTTGCTCGTTTGTTTTCAAAACCTAGCTCAGGTTGAGGTTCACACTGATAAAAAGTTCGGTTTCGCACTGGGTTGGAACTGGTGTTAACCCCGATAATAAACGAATTCGCTATTAGAAATACCTAATCTTAAACGTGACGGAATCCATCTTTGACATAAAGGATGATACGTAAACAAACATGTCATGTAAAATTGAGTGCTCCGAGACAGAAAAGTTCAAAAGTACGTTTTATTGAGCTGAAATTTGTGTCTATTATGACTAAATTTTATGTCAAAATTGACGCTCGTATATGTCAGTCTCAGAGCACCTAAAATTGCATTAATATTTCTAAGTGTGCAGTACTTCAACGGCATTCGGGAGTCCAGTATCATGCAGCGCGCCATTTCTACCAAAGAGCGATTCTTTCGCTCCGCTAATCCGTTCTGCTGTGGTAAATTGCTGGAATAAGGAATCCAATATGTGACTCTGATATTCACCGCCTTGATCAGATCGTACACACCAAAAAATTATGAATTTTAATGGTGATGCAAATATCCATGCATGCTGAAATTGAAGCATGTAAACTTCCTTTTCACGTAAACTAGCAACTTGCAAGGAATATTGCTTACAAACATGGATGGTTGCATACAATATTTAGAATATTTCATTAAATGACTCATAAATTTACACGATCTGTAATGTGCATCATAGTGACAGAAATTTACACTACTATTTCGAACTTTGTATGACCTTCGGATTTCTGCCAAACTGCGTTTTGACACATTTAACATATTCTTGAACACGCTCAGGAACTTCTGATTTCTTCTTCATAAAGTACACGACGGTGAAACGAGTGAAGTCATCAATTTCAACTTCTGTTCAATTTTCACACTGCCGTACTCAAACGGAAACTATCAATCTATCCTCTTCAGACCTTTCTCTAGGTAATAAATTATCGCACTTTAATTTCATGTTGATATTAGTATAGCATTTCCTCCCAACTCTGAAATCGTAACCTTCACGTACGAAATATCAAACACATTGATTAAATATAAATTTCATGTTAACCAGTGTAATCACGCCGTCATGAAACAAACAAACACATCCAAATGTCACGTCGCAGTGCCGTCTTCACCAACACATTCCCGACCATGCTACAAAGCGTATGTAACAGTCGCTACTTCTGCTGCTCTCTCATGGGAAAATGGGCATCCACAGTATGTCACACCTCTCGTGTGACACCATCCATGTTGCTCCGATGAAGCAGCCTGACATCATCTCTCTGAACACTGACATTTCATTTTTATTTTTATCGCACACGGTTCTGTTTCGTTCAGGCGGAAGTAGAAATTCTCTTTCGGATAAACTACTTCGCTTCCTACGAACGGAATACTTTTAAGTTGAATGAACGAATGTAGTTGTTAAATTTATTGTGCAAATTGTTACAAAGTAGTTGGAATTTAATGTATACTTTGATTTGTTAAGCCAATCGGTTAATCTCGGATCGCGTGGATACTGTTGAGCGTTCAGCTTGATGTACAGAGGTGTTTAGTCATTTCTATAATTAGCAGCCGAGGAGAGAGGAAACTGTTGATGCGTTGAGTGTACGCAGTGTCGATTGTTGGTTGGTCAGTGGGTGAACGTGGGTATTCTACTTCGCTCCGCGGGATGGCTTCAATCGTTGCCAAAGTGGTAAATCGCTGCGGAGAAGCAGCAGAAAGCAAACAATTGAGTAAGCTCACGCAATTTCGCAAGAGTTTAAACATTCCAAATATTTTAAAATAAGTCATCTCGAAGTGTGAAGTAAATCAGCTGATAATTAAAATTTGCTTACTGTCTTTTGCAGATCTCTCTGAGTGTGAACTGATTCAGGTTCCGGACGCAGTTTACCATCTTATGAGACACACTGAACTGAAAACCTGTGATCTTAGCGGTAATGTCATCACGAAAATTTCGCCCAAGTTTGCCATCAAGTTCAGTTTGATCACAGGTGCGTTGTCGCAAGGTCCTGAGGTAGATGAATCTTTAATGCCTCAATTTTTTTTTGCTTCTAGATCTCAACCTGTCGCACAACCAGTTGGCCAAACTGCCGGACGAGCTGGCCGATCTGCATTCGCTGGAGATGCTCGATATCTCGTACAACTCCTTCATCACGCTACCTGCCGTCGTGTTCAAGATGCCCAAGCTGCGGGAACTGCGGGCCCACAACAATGCCATCATCGACATCGATCGGGATGAGATCATCACGTCCGACTCGCTGGAGCTGGTCGATCTGAGACACAACCCGCTGACGGCGATGTGTCACGAACTGCTCAACAATGCCAACGTCACCTTCCGGATCCAGCTGTCCGAGCGGGAAAAGGAAGATTGGGAAGATCTGACAATCTGAGAGCTGGCTTTCCCTAGCAAGCCGTTAGCAACCCTGCCCGGTTTCACAGCCAGTTAGCCCAGTAGGTATTTAAGAGTATTCAGTTAACAGTTTTGTTTATTAGTTTCTTTTGTATACATTCTACGAAGATCGTACCAGAAATCTTTCTAGAGTTAAGGACAAACTATTCTCAGAACAAATCCTACTTGTATGCATAGACTCGCTCAAAAGTTACTTAATTTAGTGAGATTTGAGAGTTTATCGTTAAGTGATGTACCAAAAGTGTCGAGTGGCGATTTCTGCCGTGAGGAATTGACACCATAATTGTATAAAGGAAAGCAATTGTATTTAGCGACTGTAAAAACAAACACTAACCCGTACTGTATTATACATCTATGAGTGAAAAAATAATGGTGTGACAAAGCAAGGCTTGTGTACGTAACAGGAAACAAAAAAATCAATGATGAATGAGGAAAATTTTTGATCTAGTCATTCGGAATGAGGCATACAAGGGAAATGGTGGAAATTGAAATGATCAAAATTTTTGTCGCATACAGGGAAAAAGGAAACGTGTCACAGTTTTGCATAATTTATGAATTAACGTGAGTGATATTACTTGTTAGTTAAGTAAGTTTACTGATTCGGATTCGGAAGGGCAACCATTATAAGAAGTGTGTGTGTTTACCGATAGGACAAATTGTGATGTGCAATAGCAATATCGAATGCTAGTTTTGGACGAAAATTTCCCTACAGAACGATGAATAAAACATACGTTGATGGAAGTTCTTTCCAAAAGCTCTCATTCAAGAGAAAACGGCCATATTTGCAATAAGCAAAAACCTTTATTGTTGTCTTACATTATTTCCTTTGATTTACAATTCACAGTTCAACTCTAGATTATGTACAGTTTCAATAGGTAAAACAGGACTTTGTCAGCTAGACTTGTGGCATATTCACTCGGTAATGATATCTCAGCAGTTCTAGTTCTTGTAAAATTCTAAGTAACAATGTTTATAATTTCAAATACTCTTGCAATCGAATACTACTAGTAAATATGTATCTCATTTGCTACTAATTCCTCTTCTTCAGTTAAATGTTTAACACACGCATGATACTAATATAGAATGATAATGCTATTCATCGATGATGATGAATGATTTCTTTCTACACCGTCCTTACCAACTTCCAATTCCAATAGATCAACTTCAAACAGTGCAATACTTCTCAGCTATTTGACTGGAACTAAAAACGTAAAACATTTCTCACTATACATTGCTAAGCGGAACTGATTTGATATATTTTTCTGGCATCTAGAAGACCAGAGAGAAACCTTTGTTGATCTACCAACGCTAGGGGCTCCATCGATCGATAAGGTACGAGACTAGGGTTGCTCGAGAAAGGTTTAGCTAGATCTTCGTTGATATGACTCGCAAATAGAAGGATTAGTACTGCCTATTGCTGCACGCGTTGTGTTTGGTGTGTTTGAAGGTTGATTTATTGCTGCAAGTACAAATCGATTATCCCTGAGATGCGCTTAACTGAATGTGGAAAAATGGCTGTTTGGTACGAGATTCGATTTCTATATAAAAGGCAGTTATGAGGGTACCAGCTGTCATCACATTTGAGCATGATAATGGAACCAAGACGGACATTGCTGCTTACGGAACGGGCTGAAAATAAGCTCAAGCACGTGTGGAATTTTTGAACAAAGGCGTTTTTAATGTCTTTAAATGTCTTCACCAGGCATGGAACATCAGTTACATTCATTTCGTGCATTCATTTGCCTTCATTTGACTCTAACTTTTTTCAGCAATAAAATTTAGTTAAATGATGTATGCATGATGAACTAGAGTGGGCAGAACTTGATATTGTTTTTCAGTGAGTGTAATTTACATTCACTGAAGAACAAAAGTGGGTGCTGTTCACTCTGGGTCATCATCTCTAAGAAATACAGGTTTGCGTTGTTCATAAAAGTTGTAGCTAATATCAAAACCTTCAGCAGTTACAAAATGAATGTAAATGAAGTCACGAAATGAATGTAAATGATTTTCCATTAATGGTCTTCACTTCCAGTATTCAAATTAACGTCTGCATGGGGGTTGTCTAGATTTATTAAATAGAGTATCAACAAAAGTTCTAGATCATTAAGGGAACAGCATTTGATATCAGGGAACTTCTTATAAGTTCGGGGAGCATCGAGTTAGTTCGAGGAAAATCGTAAAAGTTCAGGGAACTTCATAGATGCTCAAGAAACTGCGTAGAGCTGCGTTCAGGAAACTCTTTAAAACTGTAGCAAATTTAGTAGAAGTTCAGTTAGCTTTTAAGCAGTTCAGTTATTCTTGAATCACTTCAGGTCATTCCATCTGTTGTGTAATATTAGGTTGTACGATGTATACAGTTTTTACGAACAAAAAAGTCTGAAAAAATCAGCAAATTTCTAAGAACATCAGGGATATTCGTTTCAGGTTAGGGATCGTTTGTCAAAGATCTTACTTCCACAAAGCTCAATGACCTTCGTCAATTATCAGTGAATATCCCAGATGCTCAGGAATATTCGTAGAAAATTTGAGGGTTTTTGAGGAAGTTCGTTCAAGTTCGAAGACCTGGAGTGATTTGAGATTTGGTCGTAATTGTTTTTGTTAACAAACGCTTCAAGTGATGATTTCTCGCGAAAAAAGGCTCAGTCTTGAAAATTAACAATTGTTTGAATTGTAGAGGAAAGATTACTCTAGCATGTGGTATAATTTGTTCGCAAGATTAAGCTTTTATTCGTGAGAAATCGGCAATTAACGTGTTTGTTTACAAAAGCAATTACGCCCAAATCTCGGAGTTCTCCGTATATGCTCTGAAATCTTGGTAGAATTAAGAGATTTTGAAAGTTCAGGGCACTTCGTAGAAGTTAAGGAAATCTCTAAGAACTTATGGGAATTTTGTAGATGTTCAGGAAACGTTGCATAAGTAATACGATATTCACTAAGATGTTCTCCTGAACGGAGGGTTTTCAGAAAATATTGTTCTTAACACTCCGAATACGATGCCTCCGGTAAAATGTGTAACGGCAAACTTGCAATGTTTGCAAAATCATAGCTCAAACATTTATTGACAAACTTCAATTTTACTGATGCCAGTTGAAGCTACATACTTTAAAGATTTATTCGGTAACAATAGATTTAAGATCGACCGATGAACTGCTGAGCAATGATTTTTCAAACATTGCCAATTTGCCGTTACACATTTTACCGGAGGCATCGTGTTCGGAGTGTTAAAATCTCCAATCTCAGTAAAGTCCTCTTTATATCTTTTCAAGACTTCAGGTTGATAAAGTAATAAATACTCTGTAGATCTCCTACTATTCTAAACTACAAATGACGTCTCTCAGATATTCTCTCTAGATCTCAGGTTGTTCAGGAGAAATTCAAAATTTATTCGACTTATCGAAGATTTATGCACAGTCTTGTAGATATTTTTGAAAACATTGTTTGCATTATTAATAATCAACATTTAGAAGGAGCTTCAACTTTGAAGTCCTTCATTTCTATACAACGAAAAAAGTAGATGAAAATTTCACTGAGTATTAAAGGCTGACTAAAAGTAAATTGGTACGGCCCTTCCGCGCCAGTAGCACGCCTCCCGTGTTGGGAATCGAAAATCTTTGACAGTGGTTTGTTTAAACTTCTATAGAGAACAACTAATACAAGTTTGATCAAAGTAGTCGATCGCGTTCAGAAATAACGTCAACTGGAACTAGAAAGAAGAAAAAATAATGTGCACAAACACCTGGAAAATTCGGAGTGGTCCGGTACAAACCTGGCTAAAATGCTGAAGATGCCGAAAACAACAGTTTGTCGAGTGCTCAAAACCTACAAGGAAACCCTGAGTGTGGAAAGGAATCAGTGGACCTTAGAAAAAACTGGAACCAGGGATCGTCAGCTGCGCAGCAAGGTGTTGAGGCACGTTAAAGCCAACCCCGGTCTTTCGATCCGAGATGTGGCCAGAAGGTACAACGCCAACTTTCAAACGGTGCGGAACATCCTTGCCAGGGAAGGATACAAGTCGTACAAAGCCAGTAAACACCCGAAGCGGCACATGAAGAAGAATTTCGTGGCCAAAAAGCATACAAGGCTCTTGTACGACCATGTTTTGACGAAACACAAGGGCTGCACATTCATCGATGACGAAACATACGTCAAACTCGATTTTAAGCAGCTTCCCGGTCAAAAGTTTTACATCGCGACTGGACGTGAGGATGTGCCGGGAAGATTCAAGTTCGTGTTTGGTGATAAGTTCACGAAGAAGACCATGATTTGGCAAGCGATTTGCAGTTGTGGCCGAAAAACGGAACTATTCGCCACATCCTCGACGGTGACATTCCAAGTTTACACCGAAGAATGCCTGAAAAAGCGTGTATTGCCGTTCATCCGCAAGCATAGGGGCAAAGTCATCTTTTGGCGCAATTTGGCCAGCTGCTACTACTCCAAAGTGGTTCTGGTGTGGTATGCTGCCAACAAGATCGATTTTGTCCCCAGGCTAATGAATCCTCCGAATTGCCCGGAATTTCTACGAATGGAAAAATCCTGGGCAATTGCAATGTAGCGACTTCGACGAAACGGCGGGGCAGTCAGGGACATCCAGCAAATGCGGGAAAAATTGAAGAAATGCGCTGATTCCGTGTTCGTTTCCTCTGTGCGGGTGCTGATGGGCTCTATCAAGAGGAAGGTTTGAGATTTCCTACGAACTGGAGAAATGGAACCATTTAATGCTGTAACTTTGAAGTTTTAATAAAAGTACTACAAATCAACATTAATGGACTTTTTAAACTCATTGAATCACGAATTACAAGTCTTTTTGTGCATACCAATTAACCTTTAGTCTACATATTTATACAGACTTTGATATTCATCAACATCCAAAAATAGGCTATGAAGGAATTAACTTGTTTAAAACAAATATTTTTTGTACAGCTGAATTGTAACGACTACTAGGGTGTCATGAACTGCACGATAAGTTTCACTCTGTCTGAATTCAAATAATTTTCAATTTTACACTCCATTGTGATTATTTCAAAGATACCATGTCAAATAGATGTAAAAGTGCTCTTGTGAAAAGTTACTTCAATCGTCAATTTCTCATGACTGCTTTCTCGCCCACGCAATCTACTACCATAATCATATATAGGAAGATTTCTCAGTGCTATTTTTATGCAGGTCTGCAGTCAGTAAGGATCTGCACACGCCAAATTTTTGGATTTATTTTTGTAGTTCTCATAAAATATTTTAGTAATTGAAGCCCTTCAAAACTCTGAAATCTCTAATACCTCTCAGAACTTCCATGACCTTTCTTTGAGGCAAAAGAACGTAAGAATTCCCTAAGAACCACTTATAAATTTTAGCCACAAGAAATCGGTATGAATTCAAATGAAAAACGAAAAATAATGTTGACAAAAAATAATAAAACGAACCATGGACGTTGAGATTACGGGATGCGTGTTTTGACCACTCGCCTTAAAACGATTGGGAACATGAAATGGTTAAAGGCGTATAATGGCTACCTCAGGTTAGACGAAAATCAGCCGAGCCTTTTCAAATTCATATGTTTATTTGCCTCAGTGTATCAGTTTCCAGACACCAATGGTGGTAAATGTACTCGTATCCGAAGCCCCGTGAATCTTTCTGGAGTCTTCTTAACAGCACTGAAGTTCGCAATCACTTCTTAGATCTTCTATGTTCACTGAAACTATCTATAATGCCTCAAACCTATTAGAAGTTTTTCAAGCTTCACAGCTTCTTATTTTCATTAGTTCCCTGATTATCTCAGGATTGTTCTGAGTAGTTTACAGTGGAGTTCAGAGAAATTAAATGAAATTTGGGAAATTTTAGAGAAATTTAAAGAAGCTTAAGGAATTTCAAAGTAGTATAGAGAATGTGAGAAGACTCAGGGATCACATAATTTAAGTTTGAACATGAACCTCAGAAAGGCTCTTGGGAGACGTTCAGAGGAACTACATAGAAGCATAGGGTAATGTTAGAGAAGTTCAAATCAATTATAGAGTATTAAAGGGTCTTCCAAAGGAGTTAAAAAGTGATACTCTAAGAAAGCTTTAACATGAAACTTCAAGAGCACAAATGTCAGCTCCCACAAAACACACAAATATGAAATTGCTACTCCTTGGTTGCTATCTGGTGGTGGCTGAAGTGGGTTCCTCCGTGAACCGATTTAAAGTCCTACTGTCATGTCAACTGGGAGCAGTTACAACTAGGGTTGTCATTACCGGGTACACGGGAAAAAACTGTTCTGAAATTCGTTAACCTCAAGTCACGAATTTCGGAACAAGTCAATTGTTCGCTTACGAAAGCGTTCTTTTTTTACGACAAGCTGTTCGAAATACTTTACTTGAAGGTCTCTCGCCGTCGCCGTACTATCAGTGAAGCCAGCAGGCGGTGGACTTGGCGTGCTTTCCGGTTCTTCGTCAACAAAACAACAAAAATCGAGAATCAATTCACCTTGTGGAAACGTCCTATAAAGAGTTTGTAGCTATCAAGGCTTCTTGCAGAGACTGTAATCGAATTTGAAACAAAACTTCTCAGCGTTCTGGTAGTTCGTTAAGGAGCAACGGGCAAGTAATCGTGTGCCGTACGATGTTAAGATCGGTTATGCTATGGTAAGATCATCCGACGAGGCTGCTAACCTATTTTCATGCTAAATTCAAAGCGTGTTTAATACAGGATCGCCCCAACCTCACCCTGGTTATTATCAACACGTGCCAACTGATCGTTTCCGTGTTCCCAAGTAACATTGAAAGTTTTATCGAGGGTTTAAAGCATTCTTCAAGTCTAAGTCATGGTCTACAAGACCATGATAAAACTGAAATTGGTACTTGGGTTCCGTTCTTCAATTTTTCTCGTGATGAAATGTTGAGAGCACTGGCTAAACTAGATGGGTTGAAAGGAGTTGGAGTTGACGGATTAGCTCCTATTGTACTGAAGAATTGTGCTGAGTCTTTAGCCGCACCATCCGCCGGAATCAAGTAGACTCAGTATACATCGATTTTTCAAAAGCGTTCGACACTGTTCGGCACATCTTTGCGGTGGAGAAGCTGAGGCATATGGATTTTCCTGTTTGTATATCCGACTGGCTAATGTCATACTTAACCGGTATTAAATCATTCGTTCAGGTGAACTCTGGACGTTCGAGGACATTCGACATTCCATTTGGAGTTCCGCAGGGGAGTGTGTTTGTCCTTTTCAGTGTAAGAACTTGTTCTCACAAACTGCTTGGAAACTGCTCTTTGTCGACGACCTCAAAATCTTCCGAGTCATCAAGTCTGTATTGGACTGTATTGGTTTGCAGGCAGACATCGATGTACTTTCATGATGGTGCAAAGAAAACGGAATTTGTGTGAACTTCGTAAATTATTTTTTTGACATGGTCTTATAAAGAGTGTTAATTCATGCATTATTCAAATTATTGATAGCAATGCGTTTGAGAACTTAGAGGATTATTCACTTGTACGGTTCCACGGATTTGGTTGACTTTATTTGTTCCATTCCATTAGAACTTATACCAACAATCAATACGAAACTAACGATTTCAAATAGGCTCACTGCTTGACTAGTAGACTGATGCAAAATTTGACTTTTTCGCTCCACAATACTTAAACGATTCCAAATCGGATCCTGACTAACCTCTCAAAATTTGAACCCATTTGGTGAGAAACTAAGATGGCACAAACCATTTGAAGTTTGTATGGGAATTACTATGGTAAAACCAAGATTTTTGTTCATGTCTATCTAATAATTCACCATATCGGTCTGCTTCAAAAACTTTCAATTGTACTTGCAAGAAATTTTCCCAGCTACAACTTTGCCGAAGACCACTTTTTGATTAAATGCAAGGATCGAAAGTTATCAATGGTTCAATGCGCTGATGTCTAATGATCATGCTCAATCAATTGCTCAGCAGGCAACATTGGTGTTTCTGGGGCGTTGAATAGGACACAAAAATCATGGCTACTATGTCACACTGCAAAATACAGTGTTGCCTACAGAGCAGCTGCTTGATCATGTCATAAGTTTACCAATCTCTTAAATAATTAATAACTTTTTCCTGTCTCGTTTTACATAGAAACAATCTCCAGCAAAGTTGTAGCTGAGAAAATTTTCTTTAATAATGGCTATCGAACTGTTTCGCAGCTCAATATGGAAAAAGACTAGAAGCCAATGAACAAAAAGTTGAGATTTCCCATAGTAATTTACATGTAAACTTCAAACGGCTTGTGCGATGTCTGTTTCTAACCAAATGAGTTGTAACTTTGGGAGGCTAATCAGGACCCGATTTGAAACCATTTAAGCACTGTGGAGCGAAAAAGTCAAATTTTGCATCAGTCTATTGACTAGTCTATTGGTCCCAACCAAACGATTAACGTACCCTATTCTAGACAAAATTCTAGTACGACACAAGGTTTGTTGTGATTCGCTATGAAAGTTTGACGGATAAAATTAGGGGTTAGTGGATTTTCCTATGTTTCGAGGGGTGAATCGATTAGCTTGGGACCGAAGATAGTACCAGAGCTGAGCCAAAAAGTTGAGCACGTTTCTTCGGGACCTGCTGGTCTTAGAGTTACCTCTATGCGTATACCACCATCAAACAACAATCACTGCACATGTACGGTAATGGCTTCATTGTCGCTCATGTAGATCATTTTCAACTCGTGGTAGTGGCCATTGGCGTAACTAAGGAAAAAACCTAGGGGTAATCAATTTATTTTTTTAATTTCTCTATTAGGCAATTAGCGAACAATTTTGATGTGTAAGGAAAATAAGTAATTGTAGTAACAATTCTAGAGGAGGCTATATTAATCCTAGAGAGGGATGTAGCCCCCGTAGTTACGCCAGTGGTAGTGACGAAAGATATTCTGTCACTATTGCCGGAAATGACTGAGATTTACCATGGTTGAAACGCACTGCTCAATAAACCATTTAAAAACGCTCAGTCAAGATTCCATCGAAACGTTTCCCAGCTACCCCCTCTCCACATTCAGTTAGGCTTCTCATCTATCACAAACTGTTCCCTAAAAAAATTTCCTCCTCGATATTCAGTATTCTCTTCGTGCCCAACGCAGGCCCAACCAATTATCCTTTTCCATTTCCTTCTTCATAACAGGACTGTCTCTCCGGAGGATTCGTTCATGTCGCCGCTACCATTCTATGCCCTTTTTTTCCCTGCATTTCACTATCAAACCTACTCAAAATCGTAACAATGCCCTGGACGATAGACGGGAGAAAATTGAAAATAGATTTTCCTTCTGTCGCCATCATTTTCCCGCGCGCTCCTTTATGTTCCGGTGTGTCCTTTTTTAGCGTTCAATTTTCTCTAAAGTGAAACCTTGTTGTTCGACAACAATATGAACGTTATTCTTTTCATTCTTTAGTTTGCTTATGTACCTAGGATAGATTTTGTTTTTTTTTTACGGTCTCAACATCTTGCATAACAGGTTACTTTTTAGAGTTCAATCAATACGTGTGTAAGTGAGTGTGTAAAGTGGCACGAGAATATGAAAATGTGAAAATATGGAGGGCTGTAAAAGTTTGAGCTGTTGTTTGATAATAGAGGAGTTTTCTGGATTTTTGGTTTTCTTACAGCGGCGTCAGAACGGAATTTCGCAGTTCGGCGTCATGTTGATCTAGTTCTATTTTGTCCTTCATACTGAGATCCTGGAGGTCCTGTTGAATTTGATCGAATATACTCATTTTGGAATTTCCATCGTCTTCGCAGGAACTGCTCAGGCCTGGTCCTTCAGCTTGTTCGTCTTCCTCGTGTGATGAGGATAGGGTATTTGGTGGCTCGTTGGTTTTGGTCGGTTGCATTTTAGTTGCAACCGCTGTTGGTTTCTTCGAAGGGTCTGTACTGGGGTAGTGGTAGTGATGGGATTGGATATGAGTTCCGGTCAGGTTTGTCAATGGGATCCGGTAGATTCGTAGTGGTTTGGTCGTATTGCCATTCGAGGGGGAAGTTTCACCGTCATTTTGCTGGGATTTGCTCAGATTCAGGGTTGGTTGTCGGATGAAGGACTTCCGAGGGGGAGAATTTGGTGAGCTTCCCTTGATGATCGTATTATTTTGCGGTGAGTTTGGAGGAACCGAAAGTTCTCCAAAATGTTTGCAAAGATTTTTCGTATTAGGCTGCGGTTGGGCACCAAAGTGCTTGGCTAAATCTTTACTACACGTAGTGGTCGGTATCGAAAACGAAGAACCAGCTTCGCCATAGGAATTGCTCTTCGATATCGGCCTTTTGATGTCTTCGGCTGAAAGTGTACTCTCTTTTGGTTTTTCCACCTCCGGCTTGGATGTTTGTAGCGATGATGCGCGCTGAATTTGCGGTGTTACCAATCCCGAAGTCTTACTATCGGTGGAACCGCTGTCCTGACCTTCCGTACTTTGTGCACCGTTGTTGTCTTCGTCGGAACTGAGACGGCTTCTGCCCGGGCTCGTTGATGTGTCATCGTCCGGAACGACTTTGCTTTCTTCGATTCTTGGTTTTATGAGCTCATGATCCTCGGAATCCGGACCACGTAATTTGGCACCCTTGGGGATAAATTCCGGAGCGGTGGTTACAAAGTAGATGTCTTTCTTCGACGTTATCAGTTGCAGTTCCGCCATCATGACCGTGTGCACTAGATTGCCGTTAACCAGGAGGCGTATTTCCATGGAATCCGGCGTAAATGCAATGATATAGGGAAACGCACACACAACCGAAGTTGGAGGAGTGTTGAATTGAAAATCGAACTCTGAACTACTGGAACACTCTTCCGAAAGTTTCTGAAAATGACATGTATCTGGAAAAGAGATAACGCAAGTTAATCGCTGTGAAATGGAGTAATGTACTATGAACACCCTTACGATTATAGCACAGCAATAGTTCCGTATCCTGTCCGTCGTACAAATCCAGTGCAGCAACCAGGTGGACTGCCGTTTGCTTCCTGGTGTCCGCTTCGTGCAGCTTCGTTGCATGACTAGTCGCTTCCGACACAATCTCGAAACTGTTTTTATAGCCAACGCAGATTAACAGCCCCGAATTGGGACACGACCCTTCCAGTATTGTCATAATCATTGGAGCATCATGCAGCGTAATCTCCTTAAGGAAAATGAAACCGTCGACCGTATCGTTGTCGCTATTGGGACACCACGACGTCCAGGCCGCTGTATGTTTCCACTGGAAAATAAATAACTTCCTCCCGACGGCCACCGCCATCCGAAGGTGAGCTTCTCCCGCTCTCGATATGGCAAACAGATGGCAACCTCTAGTTTTGTCTATCCTACGATCCTTAACATCGATCCGCGATCTCTGTCCTAACCGATCTTCGGTGAACTCATTCAACCTGAACACATGCACCCTGTGGCCATCCTTTTGCACGGCAGATCCTCCCCGTACCAACATGATCCCGTGATCCTCGATCACACTGAGCTGTTTCACCGAAAGTGTCCTATCGAACACAACCCTATGAGTTTGGTCCTCCTTAATCAGATATGTTCCCTCGTCCGAGGCCAAAAACAACTGGTCCTGGCCCCAACTGTCACCGACCAGATCGTTTCTCGGCTGAAATGTTGGATAGAAGCACTGCGGTTCCCAGGGTGGTCGCTTGAATACCGTTCCTGCCGAAGCTATACTCGTTGGGGCGTCACCCCGTACGATGGCTTCCAGCTTCAGTGCTTGGCCGATACGGACAAACTCCACCTGACGGGCGTCCTCCTTCAATTTGGATGTCCGGGGAGCATCGTACAGTACCTCCGAGAAGGCTCGTCGGTTCAGCATATTCTGTGGGATGGAGAAAGATAAATAAGAAAGTGGTTAGTATTGGAAGGATAGATTCGGTACATAGTTCATCCATAGGTGATTTAAAGCTTCGATGAGAGGAAGAACATAGTGAATTGCGATTATAGTGAATTACTAGATAAACCGTTTATGCTGGAATTACGAACAGTACAACCAGTTTTCAACTGGTCTGTGCATCTTTTTTTTTTTCATCAGTAGCGGGCGATTTGATGGACCAACCAAATGGAAATTGATGTTTGTTTCCTACTCCAACTCAATATCAATCCCCTCAATTATCTTTGGAATCGCATCGCCAAGAAGCTTGAGCTTACGTCGCAGAACAGAGGAGGAAGGGCAAATAAATCGGTGTATAAAAAACGTGGTACGTTTAACTGCTCAACAAGCGATACGTTTTGGAGCTGTTCGAAACGGACTTTCTATGCGCACTCACACTATCATAGCGGGAACGTGTAGGCCCCGCTAGGTGCTCTAGTGTTCGCCAATCAAAAGTGGAGCCACTTTCTGATGACTAAGATGTGTTTCTTTGATTACTGAAAAATCCAGTTCCCCTAGTTTAAAGTAGTCAGGGCTAGGAATCGGAGGTAGATCTTACATCCCGAACTTACCTTACCAATCAGGCTAAGGCCGCCCAAGTAACATTTTAATTTTTAATGAAATACTACAAAGCTACTATAAAACAACATTCATAAAACCCTGGTCAAGACTGCTTTGCCATTGATGCATCCACCAAAACCTCATTGATGCCCTTATCTGTCTAGTTGGCCCACTCTGGAAAAGCTTCTGAAGGGTATATTTTCGAAGCTCTTCAAGATTGATTTACTGCAAAATAGTTGTACGATAAACGCATTGAGAACTATCTCAAAACCGTATTTAAGCTACAATAAAAGCTATTTGGCAACAATTGAAACCATTATCCGAGCAATTTACCCTAGCTGCTTGCTAAGTTCAGTAGACAAACAACAATCAAGATAAAAAAGGATTCATAAATACCGATCTTATCAAAATAATTAAAATAAAAACTAATCTATAAAAATCCTCAGGAATTTAAAAAATTATAAAATAGTTCTCAAGAAGTGGCCAAGTCTTAGGTGCAATATAAATTCTGATGTGAAATGTACGTGAAAACATCAATAAACTTGAGTCTGCCCACGGAAAACATCGATTTTACTAATTATTTAACATTAGGAAAAAAAAATTATTCTTCAGATCGAGCATTAAGCTTAGCTGAGATTTTTATTTCTCATGATTTTTGCATTCTAAATATTTTCTCATTGCTAAACTATCTAAAATTAAGCTATATCCAAGGAAATATAGATAGAAAATCGAAGATTGTAAAAAACATACAACATAAATGTAATATGGCGGAGGCATAAAAGTTGATTTTCATGGGCCATTTGTGAAAAAGTTATTTTGCTTTCAAGCAATCCTTAACAAATTCATAAGATTTTGAAATGGCTTTTATGAAGAAAACTTGTAGACTGAAATGTATTTATCTAAAGCCATTTTGCTTGATCCTAACCCGTTCAGATTTATGGCGGCAATGTTGCCTACAAAATGTTAAACTTCACAGTTTGTTTATCTTTCGATAGTTGCGCTGTGTGATTCAGCGTTCTTCCAGGCGATTCCCGATAGAATTTCGCACAGCTGTAACCTCGATCATTCCCGAAAAGATCCCCTTCTTCCAGATGGTTCTGGAAGTGCACCATCAAACGATGCAGGAATGTACGGTTGAATGATTTTTTTCCAAGTGATGACCCTTTCGCCGAATAAAGTCGCAGCTATGGATCGGAAACCAACTAGTGACCAACAACTGTCGGTTCTGATGCAAGTTATTCCGATCTCTATCTATTCGCAAGGTCTGGAGAAGCCTGGTCTGTTTTCAGACTGTTTTGACAATGTTTTATGAATTTGAGGACCACGCTCGTTTCACTCTTCTCCACCAGATGCTTAGTCGTTGATGGTACCCGTTCCGCCGGACGTGCTGGTTCTAAATTTTAGAACTAAATTTTACTGAAATCGAAGGTCGCTTGAATTTTTCCTCCAACTTCGTTTATCCTTCGAGATATCGTTGTCATAAATTTGGTTTTTATTCACTATGAGGATCCATCCTTAAAGTTCAATTTGTAAACAGAGGAGATTCTATGATACACTTTTAAAAGCCTAAAAGGCAACAAAATATGCATTTTACTCTCATTTAAAACCGAATGGCTTTATGCTTGCTTTTATAATGATAGAACAGGTTTATAGAGTATTCTATCAAGACATTAATAAAAAATTGCTAATGAAGTTTATGATTGATTTTTAGAACAGTTTTATGGTGGGATTGAGAACTGCTTTCAATTTAATTTTAAAACAAGACAGTTTTTGACTTCTCGCCAGACTGTAAAAGGTTTTTAAAACAGCGAAAAGTTGAACTACTAAGCAGGGACGTTTTACACTGTAAAATTTTGTATTTAAACAAAATAGGTTATTCATTGCCATTATAAACCATCATAGATCAGAGTGGATGCCAAATTATTGCAGAATTGTTACTTGGGGTTGTCCTCTACTGCCCAAAGTGGTTGTCTTCACTCTACTCGATCCATGACACACACTTAGAAATAACTACTTTTACGCGAGACGTAATCCATATTGGACGTAAATCATGGAACGTAAACAAGCATTTCGTGCATATAAGCAAATCGACGAAGAGCATGTTTGATTGAATTAATTTTCTCGTTTCTTTAAACTGATTCTTATGTCATAGGGGCCGCTTACATGTGTCGGTCTCAGGGATTCGAAAATTACATGACTTTTTGGTAGTGTGCACACTTCGCCAGCCTCGTTGTCTGTGAAGGGTCCGAACCCGAACGTCACCTTCTGCTACGACTTCGAAATTGCGTGGTTGTAGTTCGTCATAGATGAACCTATCGTAGCCCGGGAAGCCGAGCGATTTGCAGTTCCATGTTTCGAGTTTCCAATCGGAGTGCTTATTTCGTCGCGTAGGTCTGTGACGATTGTTCCGATTTTAAGAGATGAACTAGTCTATGGCTAAAAATCTCTATAATAAAGAAAAAAAAAAAAAAAAAAAAAAAACGATTGTTCCGATCCGTATTTCATTCTTCGGTATTTGCAACTTTATATTTTATTCAGGGCGGCTTGTTGGGCTGGGAGATCATTGTGCACAGCTCTGTTTGGAGTATGACGCTGGTACTAGGACGGCGATCTGCCGCTCCTAACATGGAGAACATAGGCCGTACTATCGATACCACGCCAGTGTTCGCGTCGCACCTCTTCACTTTGCTATTGCCGGACTGGCAACATTGCACAGGCTACGCCACCCAGCTGTGTCCATGTTGCAGCTGGTAGTCTTTTGTTATCAAATGGCTCGGGGAGGCGTGAGTTAGGTACTTCTGAGGACCAGAGCTAGGTATTTCGAACCTGCCACACGGGAACAAATCCAATCTCCAAAATGAGAAAAACGACTCATGATTTCATGAACATAGCGTATTTTTATGTTGTGAAAATACACCATGAATAATATTCATGATATCATGAGCTATGTTTGTGTAACGCACCCAAGATTCCCGAAATCATGAATCATCCGAGTTAAAATCAGGAACTAAATTCATGAATTTAACTTTTAGCTTTTAAAGCAAAAATATAAAATAAAGCATCAGACTGGATTCGAACTAAGAACCTTACGATCATTAAACCCATGCTTTGACCACTAGACTATCAGTACTTGTATAAAGTGGATGGCAAAAGGCGTATACGAGATACCTATGTAGTGCGGTTTGCCAGGTAACGCTTGTAGCAGTCATGATTCCGCTGCATTATGAAATCATGAATTTTCATCTCGAAATCATGAGTCATTGTTATGATTTCATGAATTGGCAATTTTTTTCATTTCATGATTTTTTATTCATGAAAATGGAATCGGATTTTTTCCCGTGCACGTTGTCAACTCACCATTTTGTAGCCCCTTACAACCCGTAACATACCACGAAAAGGTAATCTACCCACGTTACGGGGCTGTGCATGGAGCAGTGGTGCTCATCCAACGGCCCACGGGCCACATGCAGCCCGCCGAGTGAGTTTCATTTCAATGCGTCACTTTTCAAAAGTATCCATAGAATGTTTCCATAAGATCTTTGACATTCTCCGAAGAAGCCTCTTGTAATCTTCCTCGTGATTCATAAAGGGTGATACGGTCAAAATTTGGTCAAGGGAAAACGCGTGTAAATCGGTGAAATCGTTTATTTAAAAAATCAAATTAAATTTCTTTTTCAAGTTCAATTAGTATAAAATTCAGGAAAAATATTCAGTTAGGCTTCCGCTTTTCCAAATCCGAATTGCCGGGCCTTACGCTTGACCCCTGCCATCAGATTTTGTACAGCCACCTTGTCCACCTTCTTCGCCGCAGAAAGCCAGTTTGCCTTGAACTGCTGCTCGCCCTTAGCAGTTTTTTTGGTGTTCTTTAGGTTCCGCTTGACAATAGCCCAGTATTTCTCAATTGGGCGGAGCTCTGGCGTGTTGGGAGGGTTCTTGTCCTTGGGAACCACCTGCACGTTGTTGGCGGCGTACCACTCCATGGCCTTTTTACCGTAATGGCAAGATGTCAAATCCGGCCAAAACAGTACGGAACAACCGTGTTTCTTCAGGAAAGGCAGCAGACGTTTATTCAAACACTCTTTCACGTAAATTTCTTGGTTGACAGTCCCGGAAGCTATGAAAATGCTGCTTTTCAAGCCACAGGTACAGATGGCTTGCCAAACCAGATATTTCTTTGCGAACTTTGACAGTTTCATGTGCTTGAAAACATCTGCTACCTTTCCCCTTCCTTTTGCCGTATAAAACTCCTGTCCCGGAAGCTGCTTGTAGTCGGCTTTGACGTAGGTTTCGTCGTCCATTACCACGCAGTCAAACTTCGTCAGCATCGTCGTGTACGCCTCCGGGATCGCGCTTTGGCCGTCGTATTTTGTTTATCATCGCGATTTGGA